CCAAATGGAATTCACAATCCGCACAACTTCAGTCACCGCTCACCGCGAACGTCCACAAAATATACCAGGTGGAGTTCATTACCCGCGCGAGTTCAAACGTCGCTCTTACCCCGAACGCCCACAACAAATCCGCCGACCCTGTCGGCGTGTGTGAGTGGCTTCTCCGTTCGACTCGTCGTCTCCGTCGTTTCCGTTCTCTCCCTCCCAGGGCTCTCCTCCTCAAGCGCGCTATCCAAAGCGAAATTAAACGACGTCGTAGTGGAGTCGAAGGGAAACCCCTTCCCTTTGATCCCTTCCCCGCAGGGGGGGGGGAGGAGGGGGGGGGGGAGCCCGGGGCAGATACGACGCCTGCTGGGGCGCACTTTCCTCGAGCGGGCACGCACGGGATGCACTTCCTCCTCCTCTGGGTCCTCCTCCTCCTCCTTTTCCTCCTCCTCCTCCTCCTGCTCCTCTCCTCCTCCTTTTCCTCCTCCTTTTCCTCCTCCTCCTCCTCCTCCTCCTCCTCCTCCTCCCGCAGAGGCGTCCCGGGAGCGGGCCCCGAGTCAAAATACTACCCCCCCAAGGCGCATTTTCCTCGAGCGGGCACGCCCGAGATGCACTTCTTCCTCTTCCGGGAGCACGTCCCAAGTCAGAATATCACACTCCCGGGGCGCACTTTCTTCGAGCGGGCACTCAAAGGATGCACTTCCTCCTCCTCCTCCTCCTCCTTCCTTTCTCCTCCTCTCCTCCTGCTTCTCTCCTCATCCTCCTCCTTCTCCTTCCTCCTCCTCCTCCTCCTCATCCTCCGCTTCCTCCCCGCACTCGTAGCCGTTTCGATCAGGGTCGGCGGCACAGGCCGTTAGGCCTCTCCAATATCAGGTGGAGTTCACTTTCCGCGCGAGTTCAAAACTTGTTGGAGGATGTCTCGAGCGAAATGCTTTGTTTTTAACAAAACTGTTGAACAACCATCGGTTTTTCAATACCTTCGCCTTCGAGGACCCGTCCGAAGGCAATTTTTGGAGGATGTCTCGAGCGAAACGCTAATTTTCCAACGAAAGTGTTAAAAAAACACAATGGTGTTTCAATCATTTTTGTCTTGGACCATCTTGGAGGTCATCCGAGGTCGCTCCGAAAAGATGCCTTACACTAGCTCTGTCAGCATCTCATTGTTTAGAGGATGTCTCGGGCGAAATGCCCATTTATGGATGTCCGCGAATTCGACCAACGATTTGAGCGTCCCCACTATCTGAGGATGTCTCGAGCGAAACGCTCATTTTTAACATACTCGATTTTGTGAGGATGTCCTGAGCGAGACGCTCATTTTGGGAACTTCCCTTGACATGAACGGGAAGCGCGTGAAATCAAAGAGCTTGGCACGAACGTACACCAACATCAACTTCGCATAAAACCTTTCTTGACATGAACGGGAAGCGCGTGAAATCAAAGAGCTTGGCAAGAACGTACACCAACATCAAGTTCGCATGTCGCGTAGGCGCTCTTCCCGAACGTCCACAAGGGGTACCAAATGGACTTCGCTATCCACGCCAACTCAGACGTGCCGCTGACCCCGAACGTCTGCAAAACGAACCAGATTGAGTTCACGATCCGCGCAAATTCTGACGTGCCGCTCACTCCGAACGTCAACAGAAAATACCAAATGGAATTCACAATCCGCGCAACTTCAGTCACCGCTCACCGCGAACGTCCACACAAGATACCAAATAGAATTCACTACCCGCGCGAATTCAGACGTCGCTCTTACCCCGAACGCCCACAAAAAATATCAGGTGGAATTCGCTTTCCGCGCGAGTTCAAAATTTGTTGGAGGATGTCTCGAGCGAAATGTTGTGTTTTTAAAACAACTGTTGAACACTAATCGGTTTTTCAATACCTTCGCCTTCGAGGACCCGTCCGACAGGCAATGCTTGGAGGATGTCTCGAGCGAAACGCTGATGTTTCAACGACAATGTTGAAAACACGTGGGTTTTTCAATCTTTTCGCTTCTTGGGCCATCTTGGGGGCCATCAGAGATCGCTCCGAAAAGATGCCTTACAAGAGCTCTGTCGGCATCCCATGTTGTCGAGGATGTCTCGGGCGAAACGCCCATTTTCGAGGAACCGAAAATTAAGCGAGCGATTTCAACATCCCGATTTGTTGCGGATGTCCCGAGCGAAGCGCCGCATTTTTAGCATACGACGTCTTAAGCGATAGCCTCCGACATCTCGATGTTGTGAGGATGTCTCACGCGAAACGCTTATTATGCAAACCTTTCTTGACATGAGCGGGAAGCGCGTGAAATCAAAGAGCGTGGCCAGACCGTGCACCACCATCAAGTTCGCATGTCGCGTAAGCTCTCTTCCCGAACGTCCACAGGGGGCTCCATGTTCGCCTTCCACTTCTCGCGCGCGCTGTCCTCAAAAATATGGCCAGGGATGTTGGGCTCCAGCTTCGCTTCCCTGTTCCGCGCGCCCTGATCTCAGCGCCGTAGCCGATGGCGTCGGGCTCTATCTTCGCCTCACTCTTCTACAATTTTTGGGGCTTCCGCGACTGTTACTGC